TTCCAAACTGATATCGCCTTCGCTTAGTAGACGCTCTTTAATTTTAGAAAAATTTCCACCAAGGCCACACACAAAAATGCCTCGAACTAAGTTGTCTCTTAATGTACCGAATTCACATGTTTGACTCAAATTTTTAAAACTGAGTACGTATTCATCAATGGTCTCATTGTTACCTTGATGTCTGGTAAAAAAAAGTGTCTCTCCCTGGCAATGTTAGCTTTCGGAACGAAATAAGAGTTAAACTTCAGCAAAAGATCTGTATACTTAACGCTGTCAGCATCAGTGCCGAATGACTGAAAAATGTTCAATTCATCAGGCCCTAAATGATGCAGAAGCAACGCAACTTTTCTTTGGTCACACTGCTGGTCTAGTCCCGATGCCATCATGAATATATCAAATTGTGCCTTCCAAGTTTTCCACGTTGCTGCGAGATTAGAAGCTTTCAGGTTCATAGGCACTATGGTGGTTGATATAGACAGCATTTGCTGCGTCGCCTGCTGTGAAGAATTTGCGCTTAAACTTGATGAATTTTTCGCCTTATCCGATTCCCCTGGACTCATTACGATAGTTTTTATGCAACGTAGTATACTAATTGCTGATTCAACGTTACTCTTTACTAATTTTTTGGTTCAGAAATCTGACACCATGTTGTAAGTTTAAGATCTTTATTAATGATACATGTACCAATAGGTGGATCGAATAGTAACGAGTAAGTGCATATATTGGAAAGAGTATTAGTATACATACATATTGGAATACAGAGTATATTGAGGTAACTATTAGTGTTGCATAACTCAATGTACATTGAGTGTTGTAAAACAGGTATAGTAAAATATAGAATATGGAATGGAATAAATGCTATTTACACAACAGACCACTGTATATGAGCCGATTAGTTTGAAAGTGGAATAAGTCTTTTCAACCTCTGTAAATCGTTCTGCCGTCATAAACTAAACTGATCAAATTTAACAATAATTTAACAGACGCGTTCAGATACAGGTAATATTCCACTTCCAAAATAAACGACTCATATGTATGTAGATAAAACATTACAGTCGTGCCGCATAGTAAGATCATTTTCAATGTGTTCCAAACATTACGCTTCAAAATATGATCAGTACTTTTCTAGGTAGTCTAACTTTATTTACCCCGCCAAATGATGATGTTTCCAGTATTATACATCTCAGTTCGTGAATTTTGTTTATTAATGGGTCTTAAATAAAGAATCGGTCCACGCCTGCATTACGTAGAATTCTCTCGTAGGAAGTAGATTTTGGCTAAAAAAGGAACACGGGTGCATCGATTTACGCACAGTTGCGCAATGAGGTGCTCCAAACTACGAATATTTCTTTAAATTTTTTCGCAGTGGAGCTTTTATGTATCTTACAGACTATTCGAACATATTCTAAACAAAGGGAAAGCTATTCACCTTTAAACATTATATTGTAGTTATTTCCGCTATGATTTAAACATTTTGCATTTTGCAATTAATACTTAATGAGCTGCTAAGTCAACGTTTTAATTGCATGATTTTATGCTACTGAAAGTTTTTTTAACTGACAAGAAAAAAGTACGTCTATAGTTATGCTCTCCAATGCATGGGGCAAAAATATTTGCATTAAAAATAACCGCTTAAACATTTACGTCCAAATTCACAGAAATAAAGAAAATGTAGTTTCGAATTTCTATATATATATGTTTTTTTTAATGAGGCCAATAATGCTTTTGGAAACATTTTGTGTGGTGGAGTCTTAAGTTTCCATACATTAAAAAGACTTCACCAAATTAATTAGCAGTTTCACAAGCATCCACCCAATCGTTGTAAACATCTATAGGCTCGGATAAAAAGTTGATACTCGTTTGAAAATCTTCAAGACAAACTCTGCAAGCAACTTTCGCAGTATTTCGGCTTTTGTCCCTGAAATAAAAATAAATATTTATATTAATTCGAAAATGTAGAATACATAAGTGTTGCATGTCATATAAATTCCATTCGCATGATCCATCTACACAAGATCTGACAAGAGGACGCAAAGCAAAAGAAAAAAGTAAATTTCTGGCTGACGCTTATAATTTCGACGCCATGCTATTTTCTTTGAATTTATCCATAATATAATACATATATAATAATAATATGAAGACGAAGCATGAAAACCAGTGTTGCCAGAACTTTTTGGGCCGACCGGCTAGATTGGCAAAAAAAAAGCGGCTAAAAACGGCTAAAATGTTTTAGTGAAATTTCACATAGACTCTGGCAAAAAACGGCTAAAATGTTTTAGTGAAAATTCACATGCTTTATTTAAATAAATCGCAAGAAACGAAAGACTAGTTAACACCATTAATTTATATCGAGTGTATATTCCTCATCATCAAATGAATCACTATTGTATATATCACCTGAATTCATTAATTTTAAGAGATCGTCATCTACAGTAAAATTATGGCAGCATTTTTCTTCACGTTTTAAACCGTATCTTATATATAAAATAGCGTTTAACGTTTTAACGCACATTGGATTTCTTTGCTTAGTTTTTATTATATTCATTGAACTAAATATTCGCTCTACTTCTGCATTACTTATAGGCAAAACAAGAAAACTAAAAACTAGGTTGCAAAGGTCAGCAAAAGGGTTTTCTCCTAGGGCATTTCGAAATTGATAAACTTCGGCCCAAAATTTTACAGTTGAGTCTAAATTACTCCAGGTATGTAACGTTAACCGTTGCCATTGCATCTCTATGGATGTTATTTCGTCGGCATTATATTTGTGTTTTTGTTGCTGTAGTTGAACAAATACTTTTGGTTTAATTACTCTTAATGCATTTCCAACCGAAAAAAGTCAATTTTTTTTAGTGTGGCAATATTTGTAGGGAGGCGTTGGCGTAATTCCTTTATTAAAGTGATAATAAAATAGCGACCATTTTCTCGAATTATTTTCTCGGCTTCGTGGTAAAAAGCGTTTGTGCTTACACCCGATTTACATTACTCTTCAAAACTGTGATAAAACTGAGGAAATGGAGCAAGGTATGGTTCCAACGGGGAGCATATAGGATCAAATGTGTCCGCGCTAATAACCACTAGGGAGCATAGATGCGAAAGTAAAACATTGAGTTCATTAAAAATCTTCATTGGGTCTGCATTATTGCTTTCGAACAACTTGTTTACTTTTTGCACCTGAAAATTAGGCAAATAGTAAAATCGGCTAAAAACGGCTAACTTTTTTTACAAACCGGCTAACAAATCGGCTGCCGGCTAGATCGAATTTTCTCCGGCTAGTTGCTATCAAAACCGGCTAAATCTAGCCGGAAAACGGCTAAAATGGCAACGCTGATGAAAACGCTGAACTCGGTGGCGAAGACTTGAAATTAAGTCAATGGCGTAGTTATTTATTGCGTTTATTTCTATGTAAAGAGTAGACATTAAAATTTTAGAAAGACAAATTACGATTCAATCTTACTTACCGCGGTTGCGTCAGGCCGGGCAAATGTCCAGCGAATGAACGAACAACCGCAGCTTACAATTCAAGGCGAATTCACATAAGGTGGTATCGATTCAACAAATACAAAAATTATTTGTATTTTGTTTTTGTTTTTAGCGGGCCATTGTCAAATTTCAGCTTTTGTTCCCCGACTAAAAAAGAGCGACAGAAAATACAAACGCTCTCGTTTTCACTCACTCACTAGCAAAAAACAAAATTTTGACAATAAAACCAGGGTGTGGCCAACTTTTGAATTTCAAATAGCACCAAAACTTAGAAAAAAGTGTTTTACCACACTAAAAGCACACAATTTTTTAAAATTAAATTACACATTTTTCTCATAACAGTTTGTATTTAACAAAAGTAAAAAATAATTCAATACACAAAACTTTTTCGCTCATAAGTAATGACTGAATAGCCGCTACACATATACAATCTTTAAGCAGAGTATACAGCTCTCAGCAAACAAAAAACGAACAGTTATATTAAAAAAACGCTGAAAATTCATTTTTTCAACATTTTGCACAATACTTCTGACTGATATACTATAATAACACAAAATCTATTGGTTCATAACGATTCTGTAAAAAAATTAGCCTCTATACATTCAAATGTATACGTTATATCACAAATTAATTTCGAAGTCTATTTCCTCATCATTTTCAACTTGTGGCTATAAAATTGCCTCCAGATCATATTTTGAATTTTGATAAACATGTTTACTATTAATGTGACTATTTACATCTTCTGGTATATTATAATTGTCACAACAATTTTCCCTTTTTTATCTGTTTTTTATGTGGAGCAATGCATTTACTGAACGAAGTGATACGACGGTTTCGAATTTTGCTTTTAAAAGTATTAACTGCGCTGAAAACGCGCTCAACTTCTGCATTCGAGTATGGCAGTGGCAAATTTGCCACTTCTTCAAATGGATTCAGACCAGCTGAGTCTTTATACGTATTAACTTGTACCCAAAATTCTGAAGTAGCCCCAGTATGACTCCATTGTATTAAATGAATATTTCTGCAAGTCTCAGAATCTGTAACAAATTCTTTCGCTAAAGGCAGTATATCCCCTTTCAAATAGGTTAATACGTTTTCAAGATAGATGATTTTTATTTTATTAAACATTTTAAAATTACTGGCAGGTCTGGATCTTATCTCGTTGACTAACATTTTGACGAATTGAATACAATTTTTGAAATCTCCTTTTTTCTGATCTTATTTGCACGGATTGGCAAGCCTCTTCGAATACATATCCCACGTAACAAAATTGACTGTCGGCTTCATCAATGGGTAGGTTCAGAAGGCGCAGCAGTTGAGCGCTACCGTTGCTAAAAAAATCAGTGATCGTTATGCGTCTTCTGAACGTCTTCATATATTAACTGTCAAATTCAACTCTCAAAGGTACACACCAACATGTTGTCTCAAATGATCAGAAAAATATTACCATCATCTAACACGCAACTATTCAGTTGATCAGAAGTACGCAACAACGCGTTCAGAAGGTGCAATCGCACCAGTTACTGAGCTGTTGCGCCTTCTGAACGTGCCCAATACTACCTTCTAAAAAATCAAATTTGACACCCGGTCGTGTTACCTTTGTAATTAGAGTCCCTATTACGGTTTACAACTCAACTCAGTTGAATTGAAATTGAAACAACTCAACTTTAAAACAACTTAACTCTTTTTTGGCATTACGAATTACAACTCACTTCAGTTGAAGTTGTATTGATGTTGCCAACCTAAAAAAGCGACGATTTGACAGATAATTAAACAGCTGATGATTTTGTGGCGAAAATTAAAACAATATACTTTACTTAAGGTTTACGAGTGTTTTTTTTTTCAAATAAAAAGTAAAATGGACATAAGCGTTGATTTATTTTACAACGATGAAAATGTTGGTCCCAAAACTGATGTGCTGCGCATACGGAAAAGGCTTCGTGATCACTCGAATCCTTTGCAACTTCCAAGCACCAAGTAAGAAAAATTGTAGCGACAATTGAATGGCATTTTAATAATGTTTTTTTGCAGATTCATAAGCTACTTTCGTTTAAATAAGGAAGCATTTGTCTTTTTGCTAAACGAGATGGATGAACATTTCCAGAAACGTGTGCGAGGAACGGCTGTACCTCCCATATTGAAATTATGTGCAACTCTCAGGTTCCTTGCTGACGGCAGTTATCAAAAGTGCAGTGGAAATGATTTTAATGTTGGACTGGCGCAACCTACAATATCTGTAGTTATTAAGGAGGTTTTAAATATAATTGAGCAGCATATTTGTGGAAAATGGATTACAACCCAAATGACTGAAGAGGAGCAAAACGCGTCAAAAATTGCATTCTATTCAAAAAGCGGATTCCCCGGAGTAGTGGGTTGTATCGATGGGACTCACGTTCGCATCATTTCACCAAAAAAAGAAATGCAACATCTTTATCTAAACAGGAAAGGCTACTACAGTTTAAACGTCATGATTGTAAGTGAAAATGTAAAAAGCAAATAATACTTTAAAAGAAAATGGTCATGACATCTATTTCGATTTCAAGCTTTGCGATTACAAAATGGCTATCCGGTATGTGGATGCTAGGCACGCGGGCGCAAATCACGATTCCTTTGTTTTTAACGTAAGCGATTTGAAAGAGCATCTGCAGAGAAACATACAGAGTAATTCCTGGATTTTAGGTAAGACTGGTCATTAGTATTTAATACAAAAATAGATTGTTTAAAATATTCCTTAAAGGCGACGCTGGTTACCCTCTACAAACTTTTTTAATGACTCCTTTCCGCATGGCAGAAGCTGGTTCACCACAAGCTCGCTACAATACAATACACTCTAAGGCTCGAAATATTGTAGAACGGACGATTGGAATATTGAAAAGCCGATTTCGTTGTCTTTTATCTGTGCGTGGCTTACATTATTCACCAGCAAAATCTACACAAATTGTGAACGCTTGCTGCGCTTTGCATAATATTTGTCAACACTTTCGCGTGGAACTTTCTGAAGAAATTGCAACCGCTTCAAGTACGGAAATAAGCAATGAAAACCTGAACATTGAAACAGAAGACGAGGATGCCGCCAGAAGAATTCGCAATAATATTTTGTTATCCATTTAATAGAAATAAAAAACTCTAACTCACATTTAATTATTTGTACTTCATTCAGTCTTCTTTTATTTTCAATGGTTAAATAACTTATATTTAATATTCATTAAATATCACTTCATGTGCTCTTAAAATTAGGTTTTTCAAAATAGTTAATTTAAAAAAGTATCACTTCATGTGCTCTTAAAATTAGGTTTTTCAAAATAGTTAATTTAAAAAAATATCACTTCATGTGCTCTTAAAATTAGGTTTTTCAAAATAGTTAATTTAAAAAAATATCACTTCATGTGCTCTTAAAATTAGGTTTTTCAAAATAGTTAATTTAAAAAAATATCACTTCATGTGCTCTTAAAATTAGGTTTTTCAAAATAGTTAATTTAAAAAAATATCACTTCATGTGCTCTTAAAATTAGGTTTTTCAAAATAGTTAATTTAAAAAAATATCACTTCATGTGCTCTTAAAATTAGGTTTTTCAAAATAGTTAATTTAAAAAAATATCACTTCATGTGCTCTTAAAATTAGGTTTTTCAAAATAGTTAATTTAAAAAAATATCACTTCATGTGCTCTTAAAATTAGGTTTTTCAAAATAGTTAATTTAAAAAAGTATCACTTCATGTGCTCTTAAAATTAGGTTTTTCAAAATAGTTAATTTAAAAAAAAATCACTTCATGTGCTCTTAAAATTAGGTTTTTCAAAATAGTTAATTTAAAAAAAAATATCACTTCATATGGTCTTAAAATTAGGGATTGCAAAACTTATAATTAATAAAAAAAAAATATTACTTCATGTTGTAAAATTAAATTAAAAAATATTTCAAATTATTAAATTAAAGCCCTTTCAATGTTTGTCAAATAAACATCAGTTCTCCATTCACGAGCTGTTCTCGTCTTGCAAATAGCCTCTTAATTTAGCTATTTTTAATTGCTCAACCTCTACCTTCAACAAATGTAGTTCATGGGCTTCCCTAGCCTGCCTTTCAAACAATTTATATTTTTGTTGCTTTATGTGCAGCAATTTTTTATTAATGTCGTAATTTTTGTACGCCGTCTTTTCAATTCTATCAATTTTTTTTAGTACCTCTTTTTGCGTTTCTGCCTGCATTTTTAGGAGCTCTAGACGCTCAGTTTCTAAATTGCAGCTTCTGCGGCGATTTTGTACACGCGATGCTGACGAAGAGGGCCGATCTTCAATGTTTGCTACCTGGGGCTCATCAACCATTGACGAAGCTGCAACTAAGCCGTCTTCTATTTCTTCGCCATCCATCACCGGTGGTATATTCTCTACCCCGAACGCCCGGCCACTGGGTGCAACTTGTTCCCTTATCTGAATAAGTTCCGCAACACTTTCTTCTAGTGGATTTAAAGAAACCTCTTGCGACGGACCACCACCAGTTGCAAGAATATTGCTGCGATTGTTGGCAAGCTTCCTTTTTAAATTTGCCTTATAGTGTATCCAAACCTACAGGAGAAATAAATTATTGCGCTTTCATTGTATTGGTCTAATTCCATGATTACTACTTACTCGTCCCCACTCGTGCGCAGTTCTTGTTGGTGGTCCTAAACTGTTTAGCTCTATGGCAAATTGCTCCCACAATCCCTTGCTTTTACTTTTGCTGCTTCCAAATTGCGGCTTGCCTCGTCCAGTTTCGGGATGCTTCTCCATCAGCTCAACTAGTTTTTCAAACTGTTGTTTCGTTGTAAGTTTATTTTTTCTACAAATTTGTAAGAAATTCCTGATTAAGATATTGGTTTAAGACAAATTAAAAAAATTTAATTACCCGCTTTCCATTTTCGCTTAAAAATTTGTTCAAAACAACTGCTAGTAATGAGTTGTCGATTTTCGATACTTTTGTCAACCGAACTAGCACAGGGTGGTAAACGGTAATACCACAAAAAAGTTGTAACATGATATAAATACAACCAAAAATTTTTTGACAGGTTGAGTTGTTATCGATAATACCAAATTGTAAGTTTTCAACTGAAATGGAGTTGAGTTGTAAACCGTAATAGGGGCATAGAATTTTAAGAATGTTGTAGAAATCGGTGAAGTTTTGCTTGGCCAGCATTTGCTGCCTCGAATGCAAGATGTACCTTTTGAACATCCACAAGTACATCAGATATAGTTCGCATTATTTTTATACATTTCTTTTAACAAGTTAGATGGATAGCATTGCTGAGTTAAGGGCAGTGTGTTAAAAAGCGTTTTTAACTCTAGTCACATTTTTAAAATTGTTTTTATTGCTTAGATCACAATACAATAGATTACCAACGAGTATCTGCCATTTATTTACTTTTTTGTGGGTTATCAGAATCAAAATTTGTAAGTTTATATATTTTGATATATTTTTTTGCCATGAAGGCGAATAAGCAAGCCTCTCTTAAAAGAAACTCTATGTTATTTGGTAATCGAGATCTCGATGCAGACGAAACTGCCAATTGCAAAGAGTGGCAAACTCATCGTATTAAAACCAGCGAGTCTAATTTGTATTTTGATTTCAACTTAGCGTACACGCCATTATTGACACCAGTTATTACTGTAGGGTTATCAGTTCCAATGCCAATTAGTTTTTGAATTGATAACGTATACAGATGGAGAACACGCTCTATTCCTTCAACTATACCGTCTGTTATGCCAGAAGACAAGTCAGCCAGTGCCAGAAAAGTGGGACGCCTAGTAGTTTTGTAACTGATATATCAGTGCTTTCATCTATTAGTGCTCATTTACACACGGCGATTTTTGTTGCCGCAACTGGACGTTTGTAGGAGAGAGCGCGATGAGGAAAGGAGAGGGGCACCGAGTTGCTCGTGCTCGGGCAACACGCTTTGTGCTCTCGTTCGTCTGTGTAAATTGAGATAGCGATTCACAGCTGACAACAACAATTGCATACACAAAAATCGTCGTGTGTAAATGAAATGAGCAACACCAAAAGGGAATCTGAAAAATCGCGTCGACAAAAGTTTCCGTGTATAAACGCAGTCTTAGTAAATTAAAATCCGACTTTGCAATATCTTCAATCAACTTTTCAATAAAATGGGGCGCCAACACATTTTTAATAATTCCCGAACACTTCGTGCGGTGTAGTGCGAAACCACTTGCTCTGCTATCAGCAAACTTATTGTGCAAATTTCTGTTAAATGATAGACGTTTTGGAAACTGCAGTGCATTACAATGTATAATGCCAATTTTCCCTGCGATTTTTGCTTCTCACTTACGATTTTTGGCGCAGCTTCAAAATTCAATTTTCGTTGCCAGAATCGCTTGTCATTAAACGGACTTATGGCATTGATGTGTTTATTTCTTGCGGCATGACGCAACAGATCTGCATATCTGGCAGCAATCTCGCATTTGCAATAAAAACATCTGGCTTTACTTCAGCTTCAAGTCCTTGTGTGACTCCCACTGTTTCCTATATTTTTGCTGATAATTTTCTCTTTCCACTAAAATTATTTCTTATTATTTAGTATTGTATATCACAAAAGCGCCACACACTTACTTTTTAATACTGATAGATATGCAAAATTAGTCCTCGCTACTGCACAGCGCCAGCTAATTGAAATATCTAAAATGATCAATCAAAATATGTCCAAATAATTAGAAAAAAAAGAAAGAAATATATAACTTACCTACTACTAGCATTTTCAATGCAAATACATTTTAGCGCAAGGCGAATTTATCAGTAAAATCAAAATAGAAGCTCTGATCCAATACTTTTCGTGAAAAACCCTGTAAAACTGTCAAACAGCAAAATTACTCTCTGAAAAAAAAAAAAGTACGGGAACAAAAAATCCATTTTTCCTGTAAAAACGTCAACCAGTGATTGCTTGACACTTTTCATGATTTTACCAGAAGAAAAAGTTCGGGTAAAATCTTGCAACTTCATTCTCTACACAACTCTCCAAAAGTCGCTCTCATTTACAGGATTTTGGAGTACGGGAACATTTTTCCTGCAACTTCCTGCAAGTTCGTGAAAAATCCTGTAAGTTCATGGAGTACTGGATCAGAGCTAGAATGAGTAAAAGCAAAAACAAAATACATGTAGGGCGAAGAAATCAGCTGATCTAACAACAGGCGTGTTTCTTAACTTTTTACAGCTGATGCCAGCAGATTGGCGAAGAGTAGAATCTTCCTCGCAAAGAGATTGAAAGAGGAAAAAGTAAAGAAACGAAAATTAGCAGAAATTTGCAACCACTGCATACACACACACATCTTCAAATGCATGTACAAATACTTACATTCTGCAATATTTCAATGTGTTTTGATAACGATGCACTCATTTTGTTTTATTAAAACGAATTAAAATATACTTGCCAACTTTTTCCTTGTGCGTTTTGAACAGCTGCTTTTTAAATATATGACTGCAAATTTCTGTTGGCAGAAATTTCGCCAGCAGAAATTTGCAGCTCTGTGTTAAGAAACGCTTTCCAGTAAAAATTTTGAATAGTCTGATTCGCCTTGATTTAGCGGGAACAGGAACGTGGGTTGCAACTTCAGCTTTTTATCAATCATGGTTGCATTTTAGTGCATTTAAATTTGAAGATTCTTGTAAATTCAGTACTGCCACAGCTTTAAACATTTTAAATTATTTCATGTTTGACCTATCTATGAGAAATTTGAGTTCAGAATAAAGAACTAAAAAGGGCACTAGGCACTAAGCCATTTTTTGGCGTTTTAATTTTCAAAAAGCACTAAATCTAGTGCTTAAAGCACCAAATTGGCATCTATGAATAAAACGCCACTCACAGCTGATGAAATAATACCACCTTATATAAGTTCGCCGTGTTACAATTTCACAATTTATGATAGTGTTGCCTTTGAGCGGGTTGCCACAAAGCATAAAGGAAAAAATGAAAGAAATTTTTGAGCGAATGTTGCATGTTTGTATAATTCCACCATGCATTTTTGTGCTAACAAACAATTTAAGATTTTTGTACGTTTTGCAACCGATTACCGCGCACTTGATTTTAATTATATGAGACATTCTTTTTCATATCGGACACCAAATTTGATGTCACACTTTCGATTGGCTCGAAATTTTTTTTATGGGTTCTATACATGAAATAAGCTAACACGTGTTTGAGGATTTTTTTTTTCGTTTTCTTTGGAGATATGATCTATCAATTTTTCCATCTTTTCGTGATTCTGACTAATCATGTACTTTTTCAAATCGTTGTATCTCGGGTTCTGCTGATCGTAGAGACATCATCTTAACGTCATTTTAAAGCTAAGAAACGGGCTTAACATTTCTGCCACAGAAGGAGTTATGGCTTGTGCTTCAACAATTCAACCAGAACCTGACATAGATGCGTCCATGGTTACTGTGCCCGACACCTCCGCATATCTTTGTGAATTCATTTCCATAGCGCGCTCTTACTGCGCTGCTATAATTTCAAATGCAAAAGAGTCCTTCCCACCTTGTTTTTCTTCATACAAATGTCTTCGAAAAACAAGTGATAGCTGGCAATGCTGCACAGTTTCCGGGTTGCAGCATGTGGATTTTTCCTTTTTTGTAACGTAGCTACGAATTACGAATTACGAATATTCTATTCACATCTATTTTGACATCTGAAAAAGTCAAGTATAAACAAAATCAAATAAACAAATTTTCATTCAAAGTGATTTGTATAGTTCAGGCGCGTATTCAGTAAAAGGTTTCGGGGGCTGTTTCTATAATTTATTATATTTTTAGGTTTTCTAGATTATTTGAAGTGTATAAAATTAAGTCACTTTTCGTCAAGATACCCTTTTGGACATGGGCACAGGCCGGGCTTTTGGCAGGGGCCCGACGGCCCTGCGGGTACGGGCCGGAATATTTGCTGTCAGCACGAACTCGTGCGTGCATGGGCGTTCAGCAAAATTTCATAAAAGCACGAATAAGCACGAAAAAGCCCGTTGCTAATACTACAAATTTCGATAAGCTTTTGTTTTTATACAAAAAAAAAATGTACATATTAAAACTCTTTTGATAAGAGAAAAGCAAAATAAGAAATATTTGGAAACCGATAGAAAAAATAAGATAGTTAGTAGGTAGCTTTGTTTAATATCTGTACATAAAATACCTTCCACTTTTTCTACTTCCCAGAAAATATATTATAAAAATCGTTGATGTAAAAAATTGATTCCCTTAAGTAAATATACATGCATAAACACAGAATTAAAAATATGTACATATGTATACATACGATAAAAGTTGGCTCTTTATTTCCGGGCTGGGACGTGTACCGTCGTACCGGGCCGGGCCCCACTAAAATTCTTAACGTGCAGGCTCGTGCATGTTTTTGAAAGATGATTTTGCACTAGTGCCGGGCCTGTAAATTTAGGCCCGTACCCATCTCTACACCCTTTATCTAGGAAGACCAGACGTCCTCATTTATCAGGACATGTCCCGATTTCAGGGTCGAATTAAAGTGTCAGATTTTTTCCCCGTCTAATTTCCTGATTTTTGTTACAAAGCTGATCTTATCTGAACATATCGCTAGACTCTTGTTTGCACATCAATCATACATAAATATGTATACTAATTTTATGTGACAAAATTCATGAATTCAAAAATGATTCCGTTTATGCATAATTCGTGAAGTGAAATGTTTTGAAGCAGTGGCGAGAAACTAAACAGAAGGCCTGTAGCTTTTTGGCGTTTTTTTTTAATTTGCAAAAGCCGTTGGTAACACGAAATGGTCAATGTTATAGTAGGGGAGCCCACGATGCTAAATCGGGATTTACTCGAGCGTCATTTTGACCTATTGGATTTTGAAGATTATATAATGGGAAGAAAAAAAGGTCATGTTATGTTTCTCCTTCCAGCGGTGGAGGATCTACAGGCTTCCAAAAATGTAATAAAAAAACAGTTACATGCGCGTCAGATATTGATAGTGAATAAATCAAACGTGTTTCTTTTGACGGAGATATGCTAATCTGCCGGTTTGCATGGTGGGGTGGGCGTACGGATTAAAAATGGGTGAAAAAAAATTTACTTGAGCGCGTAAGATATTCACAAGGGATGTTGAGTGAGCCCGACTGAAGCTCCCATTCAATAATCTGACGATTCAGATGGGACGCAAGCTCGTGGCGTCTTCTTGAAGATGCAAAAAAAAACGCCATTTGGATTTACTTGAGCGCGTCGGATTTTCATACAGAAGTTTCATCTCGATGCCCTGGTCGTGCTCTTCCATAATCTGACGATTATCTGGATGTTTTCTTAATCTGACGGCTTAAAAATATAATTTCATTTCTGAGATGCACAGTCAACCAAACATACATATATTATTGTAAATACTTATTATTTTGGTCGTCAATTTCTTCTACATTTTTCCCATATGTAACAAGAAGTAATTGACAATATTTTTTTTACATATTAAATGATAAGTGTGTTATTATAATAGAATTTAAAAGGTATTATTCCTGAATCCCCTAGAATAGCCCAACAAGTTTTTTGACAAGAATTTGATCCACAAAGCACAAAAAAAAACCATTTCCACTCATCGTGAATCACAAAATTTAGTTAGTAAAATTTCAAAGGTTATATTTCATCTAACACCACGAGTGCTTTGATCGCCCATGATTACGTGATGGCAGACGGAAAGGAGTAAAGGGACACACAGTCCATTGATACTATATAAAGAGTGAGCAAGAAGGGAGCGGAGCACAGTGCTTCCCTTACATATGAAATGTGGGCAAAAAAAGGTTTGTGGACGGTTTTAAATAAAATATTCGCTTCTTAGTAAAATTGAGGACGCTAAATTTAAAAATGCAAATCAATGTTTTTGTGCACCTTATTGATCGCAA